GTCAGCCACAATCCCAGGCATAGTCAAGAGAATGCTGTCAGGCAGAGATGCAGAAATCCAAGATCTCTCACCAGAACTGACCCAAAGTTACTTCCCAGGTAGGCTACAGACAGTATCTCCTGCCCCAGTGAGGCTTGGGAACTCAGGTACCCTTGAGCCCTCCTGAAGGGGAATAGCAGCTGCAGAAGGCTCTAGGTAGCCAAGCCCAAGAGGCTGCCAGCATCTGCACCAGACAATGCAAAGAGGAGGGGAAGAAGCAAAACACCTACTGGGAAGTGAGGCTACTAGAAACAGATAGGAAGACCCTCGTCCCTGGAGCTGGCGCAGTCCTCCTGCACTCCTGAGCCACCACACTTGCTCCTACCTTTTCTCTGCGACGTCCTGACTCAACTCTGTGCCTGAGAATCACATGGTAAACATTTTGCAGAGAAAGGATATGATTTTATTGATTTTTTTTTTTTACAGAGAGGAAGGGAAAGAGAAACATTAATGTGAGAGAGAAATATTGATCGGCTGTCTCCCAAATGCACACCTACTGGGAATCAAACCTTCAACCTTTTGGTGTATGGGACAACACTTCAAACAATTGAGCCCCCCAGCCAGGGTAAGGTTTTTTGTTTGTTTGTTTGTTTTTAATATATTTTTTATTGATTAAGATGTATGGCAGTAGAAAATTACCAGCCCTACACGGGGAAGGGCAGAACTCGAAGCAGCACCAGGGATTTATAGCCCCGGACGCTGAGAACCAGCTGAGGGAGTTAGGCTCTGATTAATTGTTAGGATAAGCTGGATGTGAGAGTACCAGGCAGGAGTGATAAACTCCCATGCCGTTAGGGCACAGCACAGACCCCTTTGGAATTTCTTTGTTCCCCCTTTTACTCCCTCCTGAGTGAGAAAATTTATAGTCTGGCCGATGCGTGAACCCTCTTTGTCCTCGTTACCCCCACCCCTATTTTGAGTTGTGTATAAAAAGCTGTAACTGTAACTGTAACCGCTCGCTGCTGCTCCCTGCGCGCGTCCTGCCGCGGCGGCAGCCCGGATTCGAATCTGTTAATAAAGAAACTCCCTCCCCAGATTGGCAAGGGAGAGGATCTGTTTCACCAAATTCTTGGTTTGCCGTGGTTTCCTGTCTCGCGGGTACTTTCTCCTTATAACAAAGATATTACATATGTGTCCTTATCCCCACGTTGCCACCTAACACCCCCCCCCCTCCCCACCACTCATCCCCTCACCACCCTGTTGTCTGTGTCCATTGGTTAGGCCTATATGCTTGCATATAAGTCCTTTGGTTGATCTTTCCCCCTTACCCCCACCCTCCCCTACCTTCCCTCCAGTAAAGTTCTTTTTTTAAGCTAACAGAAGGACCACTCTGTTGCTGGCTTGAGAAGGGATGTTCATGGGTAAGTGAGCACTAGCTGTCAGGAGCTTTATACAACACTGCATCCATTACAAATGCCCCTCTTCCCATTCAAGACTGAAAATCTGAATTCAGTTGACTGCTAGTGACCTCAGTGGTGGAGCTGAACACCAGCCACAGACAAGGTGCCTGGGGCAGACCTGGCTTGACAGCATCTTTGGGCAAAGCTCTGCTCCCAGCTAGGTGCCGAGTCACCTGCATGGGAAGTGCCACGCAGGTGAGAGGCTTTTAATTTGGGAAGAGCAACAAAGCCTGGTGAAACCACCTGGGGCCCAAACCACCTGTGATTCCAAGATTCAACGAGGTGGAGATGTGGGTTTTGGTTCTAGGTTCCACTTGCAAACATGCACAGGGCACGCTTGGCCTCATGGCTGTGTTCCCCAGCACAGCCCAGGTTCATTTCACTTACTTCACCTTCCTACCCTGTCCTGCTCTCGGCTCACCTGGTTGTTCTAGAAATATTCCTGGCACACGCAATATGGCATTCCATGTGTTCTGAACAGAAGTGATAGAGAAGCACCCCTTAGCAGCTGTACTGTAGAAAATACCTCCCCCCCAACTCTGTCTTGTTATAACCAGTGGAACAGAAGTGTCAGCTAACTACCTGGTGTCCGCATCAATACAGACCATGTTGATGCTTCCCTCTCATCCTGTGTTTGTGGGCTTTTCCAGGGACATTGACTGTAACACAGGTCAGCCTCACATCAGCCCCCAAAATCTCTAGCCAAGTGAACTCTTTGGGTTGGTAGCACAGGTCTCATTATCTATTAGTTATTTTAGCATCATATATTTTATTGTACTGGAGACTCATTGTTGTTAAAATATTAGGTTCCAGGTTGCCATCATTTTAGAGGTTTACCAAAAAGACTTTCTAGCATATTTCTTCAAAAAAGACCTCTTGATAGCAACAGGTGAGAAGTTTATGTCTTAGGAAATCATAATATTTGGGTGGTGTTATAAGGAAAATCAATCTTGCTTATTATTTAATGGTTTCACATCCTTAAACTAACCTTAAAAGCAGGCACACTTAGCATTCAATGTTATCTTTCTTTTCAAAGGCAGATTAAGCAGAGTGAGGCCAGGTGTTGGCTTACGCCTTTAGTCTCAGGGGAAGCCGTGACAATGAGCATAATTTTCTCATCTGAATATCAAACCCTGCATAGCCGTGAGGCAGCAAAGCCCTCATCAGAAAAGCAAATGCTAAGAGTTTCTCCACACCTGACTCTCACGATATTAAAACCATATGTAATTCTTCATTATGCAGCCCTTAGACAGCCGTGGGCAAACTACGGCCCGCAGGCCAGATCTGGCCCGTTTGAAATGAATAAAACTAAAAAAAAAAAAAAAAAAGACCGTACCCTTTTATGTAATGATGTTTACTTTGAATTTATATTAGTTCACACAAACACTCCATCCATGCTTTTGTTCCGGCCCTCTGGTCCAGTTTAAGAACCCATTGTGGCCCTTGAGTCAAAAAGTTTGCCCACCCCTGCCTTAGAATGAATGCACATGGACTTTAGAGCTGCCTGAACTCTGGCCCTGGCAATGAGAGTGGTTCCCTCACTGGGTAGATATGAAAATTAAGCCGTCCTGTGTAGGTCTGAGCTCAGTAAGGAGCTTGTGACTTCTCCTAGGGACAGAGTTTAAAAACAGGCAAATCGGTCGGTAGGAGCGACAGAAAGGTGACCATGTTTTACGAATAAACAGAGCACTGTTACATCTCCCTGCCCTAAGAGCGGGCACTTTGATTTGAAAGGTTTGGGTCTGAACTTTGGTCAGCATCGGGTTTCACCATAATGTCATGTCCAAGTTACTGGATTTTTATTTTTTGTTTTTAAAAAAATATTTTTTTATTGATTTCAGAGGAAGGAAGAGGGAGAGACATAGAAACGTCAATAATGAGACAGAATCATTGATCAGCTGCCTCCTGCACACCCCTACTGGGGATCGAGCCTGCAACCCGGACATGTACCCTGACCTGGAATTGAACAGTGACCTCCTGGTTCATAGGTCAATGCTCAACCACTGAGCCATGACAGCCGGGCCAAGTTACTGTTTGATGACGTGGAAACCAAGAAGCACGAGAGGCCTCTGCTGACCTTCATGGGACTGCACAAAGCTCAGGTTTTGCTTTCTTTGGCTTATGAAGCAGTTGTTCCTGCTGGGGACGAGCTCTCAACCCAGCAAGGCTAGGGTAGCAGATGGGTGAACAGGCACGAGGCCCTGCTCGCTCCAAGCACACTCGTCCCACCTGCCCCTGCACTGCAGCAGCTCTGCCAGGAAAGGAGAGCAGTTGGAATAAACGAGGAAACAGGCATTTTTGGCACAGGAATGGCATATATGCAAACTGACTTACGATTCCTCTTCCCCCAAAGAAGCACATTAGGTGGTGAAAGGTGACAGGTTATTCTAAGTAGCTATGGCTTCATGTTTACTCTGCAGCTTATGGAGCAAGATGAGCAGGAAAAACCAACAGTGTAAACCATTCATAGCCTAACCTGGAAAGCCTTCTTTCAGACCGCAACACAGGTATTGCTGGCTTACCTGGCCACACCCAAACCCTTCCTGGCTATTCCCAAATAGTCACATAAAGGGGAAAAATTCAAACACCTGTGTGCAGCTCAAGTCCTCTTCGTCCATTCTCAACACATGTGCGAAGGCACTCACTCCCCTCATGCTGATGTTAGGATGAGACCATCCATGTCAGGGGCAGCCACTCCCCCCAAAGACAGCTTTCCATCCTTACACCCCAGAGCCTATGGATGTCCCCACAGGAAGGGGGGTTCCTGATCGGTAACTCACCTCCACTGGCTGATCTGGGCCCCACTTCAGCTGGGCCAGAAGTGACCAGAAAGGTCTTTCCTTTGGATTTCTCACTGAGGGGCAGATGACTCTCTCATACAATGACATTTGTTTATTTGAAGATGCCCACACAAACTGCAAACGGAAGTACACAAGTGGAGCTTGAGATGGGCAAGAATGAATCAATAGTTTAGCTTCAGCAGAACAATCTATACTAGGCATCCTGTCAACCCAACTCTGCCTAATCCTGTCACCGGTTACTCGCCTATCTCCGTGTCCACTGACACACACAAGACCCGAGGCCCACAGCCACCAAGAGTCTGCCTCCTTGAGAGCCTACAGCCTTACTCCAACTAGGTGAGGGTCTGCTTATTTTACCCACATCTATAATTGCAATTACACTATTTTATTAAGTATGACACAACTTGAAAAAAATGTTTGTGCAAAAGGAGAGATGTTCCTATTACGGACTGCAAAGGCTAAGTTGAATGCTCGTGAAAGCTCTGCTAAAGGGGCTGTTAGGTGGGTGTGAACAGACCAGGTAGAAAATGCTGAAACTCTAGGGATGCCAGAAGCCTCTCTCGGTTCTCATTCTACTTTGAAGTAAAGGAAATTTAAAATGGTGCCTTAGTGATGCAATCAGTGGCCCACACTCAGAGAAAAGCTCTTGACGAATGAATGAATACTTGAATGACTTTAAATAAGTGAAAATAAAATGATGACATTTCACTTTCCTGGACTTTTGAGTCATCCATCAGTCATCCAAACATCTGAAATAGAGAGAGGAGACAGCTGCCTGAAATCATAAAGGAAAGGGGGGAAGTTCTGTGAGCATTTGGAATGAGCTTTCATAAAGAGGTCACGCATCACACCTGCCATCTTCCGCCTGAGCGACTCAGCAGGGCACGCTGGTACAGAAGGACTCCTGTGTGGTCCGGAAGGAGAGCCCTGTAAACCGAGGCTGCACAGGTGAAGAGACACATGATTAGAATTTACCTCCTGGAGGAGACCTTCACAGGGAGAGAAACAAAAGAGTTTTGGGATCCAGATAAACTTGAAAAATACTGGGAGCCAGCCAAGAAAGGGCATACGGCTCCATGGCAATGATTGTGCAGAAATAAATCTGCTCCATGATTACCCTACAAGCATTGCTTTCTGTAACATGGAAACTTCAACCAGAAACATTGAGTTGCTCTAAATCGTATCTTCTGGAAATTCTGCACATTCCTCAGTGCCCAGGGGTAAATCAGTGACCAAGCTCACACTGAGAGAGACACTGTCTCTAGTGATTGCTAGGCCTCTGTAGCGAGTCTGGAATGCTGAAATAAACACTATTTTCCCAGGAGGAACGTGTCACTTGGAGCCCCCCAAATCAACAGGTTTTAGTTAAAAAGAAGGCTTTTAGGTACTGGGCTTACTGCCATGTAAACTAAGCAGGTTGTTAGAATCTACAGACTCAGGTCGGAGGCATGTTTGCTGAAGTCACAAGATACTGCGGCTTGGCAGAGATAGAGAGTAATTTAGCAGAAATTAATCAAACTCACAGAACTTCCCTGACCTTTGGGCACGAAGCTTGCCCTGCCCTCCATCTGTTTGCTACTGATAACCCTGTGCCCTTCCTGGCCCTCGCTCTTCTGGACGGGCTCCCAGTTAGAAGCACTCACAGAGCCTTCACAGGGCTTCACCAGCCGACAGCATCTGCCACACAGAGAATATCAGAGCTCTGTCAGATAACATCTTTGTCGGCCTCCCGCCAGGCTGAGAAAGCACTGGAGTCTAAAGACACGTGGGCTCCAATGTAAGGAAGTCAGAGTCAGCCTCCTGCCTGCAGCTGTTCAAACCCACTGTCCTTAAAGGCTGAGCAGCAGTTTGCTGAGCGCCTGGGGCACTGCCATGGACTTGGTGGCAAGAGTGATGTCGAAGTGGTGTTTTAGTAAAAATAACCTGATGATGATGGGAGTAAGACATAGAGATGAGAGGTGGGAAAGCAGCTAAGGGACTTTGGTCATTGGTTCGTTTATTCAGTTATTCAGCCAACCAACATCTGCTATGTCCCAGGAATTGGACAAGGCTTAAGCAATGTTATTTCCAGTGTTCCCTCATGGCTCCAAGAATATTAAAACATACCAGCAAACTTTATTACCTAAAAATGACTTGGACTGGAGGTGAAATGTCTGCCTTTGCACGTCCTGCCTCGGTTTTCTGGGGCACCTAAGGGATAGACACAGCAAATTGGTTTCAGATGCTTCTTTAAAGGGAACAGGGATACCAGAGAACCCCACCCTGAATGTATAATTGTTTCTAGGCCAACCCCTGAGACAGCTTCAGCCTGGTTCTCTGGATACCAAATACCAGCAGCTGCCAGGGACCACCTGGCATCAGGAAGATCTGCCCTCACCCACCCTCCTTAACATAACTGCCTTTTGTCTCAGAAGTTCTTTGGTTCAACTGACTTTCCTGGCTCAGGGGGTCTTTGTCATCAGCCTCAGTAAGAAGAGGTCACCAGGAAGACACCCAGGCCTGAGACAAGAGCAGAGAGCAGCAGCATGCATTTCTCCATTTTCTAGACACTTCCCCTGAGAGAGTTTCCCGCCCATGACTTGGGACTTGCTTTCCCTCTTGACGATAATTTTCACATTGGACAACCCAAAACAAATAAAACTGTGATTTATATTTCAGGAGTGACATCAGGATTTCGTGATCTCTCTCAGATGCTCAAAATATTTATTGGTTGACCACCAAGTATGTGTCCTGATAGCACCCTCTCACCACTGCCCCCATCACCATGGGAACACCTGTGCCCTTTTCTATAGTTTCTGAGATTGACATAAAACATCCTCCTGCCCTGCTGCTCCTCCCACAGTCTGCCCCTGCCTCTGAGCAGCTGACTGGGCAGATACAGAAGTCCAGCCCTGTGGATGCCATTTGTCTTCACTCACATAGCCCCCCTCCCAGGGACACAGACGGCAGAGATCATGCCAAGGGCAGGGACCATACATCCCTCATCACCCACAGGAAAGCTGATGCTGACAGCAGGAGTTGGCCTCATTTCTCAAGGGCGACTCTACTATCCCAAGGACCAGAGCTCCCCACCCTGATAGGGAGCCAAACCCAGTGGCGCCTCCAGATAAGGTGACTGAGAGAAGACAGACGTAGTCAGAGAAGAGCAGACATGGGAGTTTGAAAACTGGGTGGCCCAGCCTCAGATTCCTATACCCGGACATGACATGGCTATAAATTGTAAATATCACAATTACAATTCATTTTGTTCAAATATGAGACACCACAGACCTCGTCCCGCTTTAGAGCAGCCTCTTGTCTAAGAAACCCAGCTGGGAGAGTGCAAATATTCATGCATGTGGCTAGGCAGAGGGGGCAGTCACTTTGGTCCCTGCCAGCCACTTTGGTCCCCACGGTAACTCTGAGAGCCTCTGGCCCCTCACATCTGCGGGGCAGGGACGGATGGAACAGCGCACACAGCAGGTCTGAGTATTTAATGCAATAAATCTGTAACAAGTCTTCCCAGGAAAATGTGTCTCCTCCTATCTTGACAAATGCCTTAAAGGCTGGGCTTGAATTTAGTATTTTCAGATTCCTCTCAGTTCTGTGGTGAAGTGGTGCCTGGAGAACCAGCTCATGCAGCCTTCCCTTTGGATGCCAGGTACACCCCATATTGCAAAGGAGCCCCAGCGCATGCAGGACACCATCACCTGAGGGCTCCCAAACTATTCACCTAAGTTGTCCAAGCTCCCTGGAAACCATAACCCCTTGCCCACCCTTCAGGCCAAGATGTGGGCATACCTGGTCTGTCCTTGGGAGGATGGACTCGGAGAAGAGACCCACACAGGCCCAAGGGCAGGCTGGGTCCATGGTGCAGGTGCCCTGGGGTCAGGGCAACAAGTGTAGCTTGGAAGGTGCAGCACGGGCCCCAGACCCCTGGCCACAGGGAGGGGCACAGCCAGGGGCCAGAGTGGGACCCTCTGACATGGTTGAGGCCCCTCCTATTGAGGGCAAGAGCAGCACTGCTCACAAATGATGAACTTGGAAAGTAAGATTCGGCGGGGATAAGGAACATACTCCAAGTCAGGCAACTGGTTTCCACCCGAGGTCTTGGGTCAAGCCTTCCTCTCTCCTGGATCCTGACCTGGATTTAGTAGGGCAGATGCCTTCCTGAAAGAGTGTGTGGTTTCCACTATAGCATCCTCAGAGATGCCCGCCTTACCTTCACCTAAAAATAATATTGTTAGATGTAGTGTTTCCAATGAAACAGTCCCCAGTTCAGGGACAGGAAGGGTTTTAAAAACCAACCAAAGACTTGTAAGCCATGGGAAATTCAATACAACTCACAATATAGGTTCAACTCAAATCCTCGAATGCTTCCTATGAGCCAGGCTGTGCTGACACCTGTTACTGACACAATCCAATATTGAGGAGTTTGAAAGAAATAAGAAAAATCGGGCAGCCTGATGTTAAAATTAAGCAAGCAGTCCTGGCCAGTGTGCTCAGTTGTTAGGGCATCAGCACTAGCAACAAAGAGTTGAGGGTTCGATTCCCGGTCAAGGGCACGTACCTGGGTTGCAGGTTCGATCCCCAGCCCTGGTTGGGGTACAAGCGGGAGGCAGCCAATCGATATATCTCTCTCACATAGATATTTTTTTCTCTCTCTCCCTCCCCCCTCCCTCTCTCTAAAAATCAATGGAAAAAATATCCTCAGGTGAGAATAAATAAGTAATTAAATAAAATTAAGCATGCAGCATGCACATCGCTCAACATATACCATCCCTATTTTAAAATCATGTTTTGAGTTCCTATTGTGGCCGAACAGTGGACAAGCACATAGCAGACCACAGTCTTCACACACTTGCGTAGATCACACCGTAAGACCGTAAGAGAATTAAAACAAAATGTTCACTTGTCCTTTATAATTCTTCATCATGAATTTAAGTATCTGCAAAGGCATAACGTTGGTATATCTTAAATACTGCCATTTTAAAAGAAAGCTGAAACATCCCTTAAATGTGCTCAGTACAATTTAAATCTCAGAGCAATTTGCCATCATTATTCCCCTTCTGTAAGATAGGCTTTGCCACTCGTCCTTCACCGACAGAAATTTCACAAAGTCCCTCTTTCTCCTTGACCTCATGTTTCCACTTCTTTTCCCCAGAATGTTATCCGAAGAAAAGATACCGCTATGGCTGAAAGTCTTTGTCTCCCTATCATACTTCTCTATAACAGAAATATATACATACCAGTAAGATTAAAATCTTTTATTTGGATTTCATGTGGACCCATATTATACACACTCAAAGAGAAAGAAATTCATACTATGACCTGTCTGAAGGTAGTCTTCCTAGACCATTTCTCTGAAGGGAGGCATTTTTCTAGATAGTGAAGGTAGAGAAGAGATAACATTAAATTTAATTTATTACCTATACTACCGATTACATGTTATACCTGAACTCACAACAGGCCCAATTGCCCTCACCAGAGATACACATCAGAAGAGGCAAGCATAGAGCCCTACCTGAATTTATAGCATCTTGATTAGACAAGTGTCTCAATGAAAGGCTTCATAGACCCAATATTTCCAACCAAACTCTGCTTGATATTAATCATCAGAGATGCAAATTAAAACCACGATGAGGTATCACCTCACACCTGTCAGAATGGCTATCATCAATAAGTTAGCAAATAGCAGGTGCTGGTGAGGGTGTGGAGAAAAGGGAACTCTTGTGCACTGTTGGTGGGAATGCAGAATGCAGCCACTGTGGAAAGCAGTATGCAGTTTAATCCTCAAAAAATTAAAAATGGAACTGCCTTATGACCCAGCGATTCCACTTCTATATTCTAAGAAACCCGAAACACTAATTCGAAATAATATGTACACCCCTATGTTCATTGCAGCATTAGTTACAGTAGCCAAGATCTGGAAACAGCTCAAGGGCCCATCAGTATGAGTAGATAAAAAAGCTATGATACATTTACACAATGGAATACCTCTGGGATTGCAGCATCCTAGGACTTGCTCTATAGTCTCCTGGTACACCTCCTCTCACAGTGGTTTGTGCAGGTGTTTACCTCCGTGATGAGATAGAAGCTCCCAGCATCCATTCCCGTGCATCCTTCGGAGCGCATAGCATGGAGCCCCCCTGGTAGAAGTCTTTCAATATGCATGTAAACATGCAGTGAATCTTGTAGTCAGAGGAAATGTATTTGGAGCCACACAGACTTAGGTTGCTATCCTAGCTGTGCTATTGCAAAACAAGACTTGGCAGTAATTACAAAGACAGAAGGATGTGATTCATGTCAATTACTCAGGGCAGTGTCTGGCATCCAAGAAGTGCTCAAAAGTGTCAGTTAAGAAAAACGACAGTGATATTACATATAAACACATAACCTTATAAATTGTAATTACAGTACATAAAATTGTATTCATCTAAATTTTCATTAACGCAGTAATAATACAAGATGAATAATAAAATTACCATTATGACCTCTAGTATTAATGAAGTTCTTGAGTGTATCCTTTTGAGAACTAAAGCAAAGAAATAACTAAACTTTTCTTAGATATATATAAATGAAAGAAGAAATGCCTCACCTGGCATAACTTTAAAACTTGAATATACTCAAGAAAAGGTTTTTAAGCCTCCCACCAGCTTTCCTCTCCCCAATGGCGATGCTGTGTGGTCTCCGTTAGCAACAGTTCCTAGGAGTGTGTTCTGAGATTACAGAGAGCCCTGGTGGCGAGCACTCATTTCTTGTTTTAATCCCTTTGGTCTTACTGCTCCTTTTGCAGACACACCCACAATAATGATGCTGAAAAACACATGTTGAGCAGTTAACCAACCTCTCTCCATTCCTAGAGGAAAAACTGAGAAACTGGACATGGGAATCCTTGCTATGTGTCAAAAAGCAGAATGCAGGTCCTAACAGTCATTCTAGTTTGCTCCTTAGCTACCCATGATTAAGCCAAGGCAGCACATGTGGACCAGAGCTCCCGGACTCTGATGTCGGTGATGTCCCGGAACTCAGAGGAAATGTCAGCACCACAAGGAGATCACAGGAGGCGTGATTTTGTTCCAGGCATGCGTTTATTGAAATCTGAGTAAAGGATTCCCCCATGATACAGCATCTTTCCCCACCCCCTAGATTTGCTCCAACTTTAACTTTCAGTGACAGAAGATGCAAAGGGTGATACATGTCAAGGGTTATAAAAATTTATTCTCTGTAGTAAAAAAAAAATTCCTTTCAGTGTGTCAGTGGTTTCTGAAGAACCCTCACCTCTGTAGTCAGCTAGCATGCCCATGAAAACTTGCACAGTCAAAGCTAACTAGAGCACTGAGTGTCTACAGATTCATCCCCCGGCTTCCACTTTGAAAGACAAAAAGCATGGGGCAGAGAAAATAATCGGAGATGAGCCACTCAGTCCTCGGAGCCCTGCTAGATCCCCCAAGGCTCATCTCCGACAGCTCAATGCCTTCAAACATCAGATTCCAAATGCCCCACAATCTCTTTCAAATGTGTATTTTTATGGATTAGAAAATCAGCATTTCCTTGCAAGAATACACAAACAGTTTTCACCTTGAGAACCTATATAACCCAAAACTTTGGACTGATATTTTGGAGCTGAGAGAGAAGACAGCTGTACTGTCCTCTCATGGGCTTCAAGTTTGTTTTTTGTTGCTGGTATTTTTTAAACAAAGAAGAGAAGAAATCTCCACTTTTTCTTTTGATCATCTCAGGTAGAACAATTTTTAGACATCTTTAGGCTATCATACCCAGGGCCTTTCTTAATTTCCTTGAGAAAGAAATTAAATAGGAAACATGCAATACCAAGTTTTCAACTAGATATTCCCTTCCTCACATCATACAAACCTTCACGTCATACGACCTTCATTTAATTAATACATTAAATGACTCCGCTAGACAATCAGAGATTTGAAACATTAAAGACAATTACATCCCACACTGACAGGCACACAGGGTGGTATATTTGAAAAGCCAGGTGCATTTTCGAAAGATCGTGCCTACAGTGAGTAAATCACGTAGTCGTGGGACGTTGAAAAGAGTTGATGAGGAAGAAGGCACAATGCGAAAGTTCAAGGGTAGACAGAACAGAACAGTTCTTTTTGACTTGGTTTGTTTCTAACGTAGGAGGGGGAAATAGGTGTATTAAAATTACTTTTCAGGTGAAGGTTTCTGTTCGTCGAAGCAGCTAACACTGGCTTCTTTCTTCTTGATCCAAGGCAGCCTTTTTTCCCATCGGCTTCTGTGGAGGTGTTTAGTCTTCTGCCATGTAGAGGTGGTACATCAGGGCCACAACCAGTGCGGAGATGGCTGGAATCACCCAGTTGGTCCACCAGCTAGAAAGGAACAGCAATGATACTTCATGGTGTTTAATGCAGGTGACACAGTCTCTGCACCTTCCAGTTACCATGGAAATCATCTCTAACCTCTCCATGAAAGACCACTCTGAGTTGCTAAAAGTGATGTGAGCTGGCATTCTGGCCAATTCAGCTATTGTTCTAGCTATAGAAGAAAACTAATGACCTCTTCCCTCACCCCCCAGTTCCACTTATATCTCCTTCTATAAACGTATACAAACAGCTATGAATCACTCCCCCAAAAGATGTTATGATCTAGGACTGGTGACTTACCTAAAGGACATCAACTCTGGGTTAAGTATCACAAACTCACAAAGGGAATAGTCCTTACAGGTGTTATTCTAGTTTCAGACATTCAGCACTAGGTTGAGAACCAGAAGGACAAGCTTCCCCTTTTGGGAGAGCCTTTGCAAGCGCTATTGCCAAGGGCAAATCCGGCACCCTGAGCTGGAAGGAAAGGTAAGGGCTTTGAACCAAAGGCTGATTAAGATTGACCAGCACCACAGCTCTACCGCTTGTACTCTGTTTGGAAAATCTAATCTTTACACGCATGTAGCAGACTTAGCGTGTTGAGAAACCACATGTGGCCCACAGTTGTATGTAAGTTCACAAAAATGCCTAACTGACCTAGTGATCAGTCCTGAGGCATAGAATTTTGGACCTACTATAAGTAACAGATTACAGATCAAATCAGGGGCAGAGCTAGGGAGGTCTTCAATTTAGATTTGAATCTATCATTTCTTAGGAAACAGAAATTAATATATAGGTTTTAGAATCTGAATAAAGCCAGACAACATCTATGTATACATCCATTTTTTGCCATACACTTTCCATCTTTCAATCCTCTGCACACATCAACCCATTCAAAGACCATGTCAGTATAAAGATTTCAATGCAGAAGGATCATGGTGTGATTTTCATCTCGGTGGGGTTTTAGTTTCCCTTTTGGAAGGAACAATGTGGCAGCAAAGAGTAAGGTGTGGTACTGCCTGGAGGCAAGGAAGGGACCAGAACACCAACAGCCCAGGCAATTAACTTTCACAGGGTGAAATAAAATTGGCATAAATCTGTGGTTTTAAGCTCAGGTCCAAAAAAAAATATATATGGTGGAAATTATACAAGTCAATACAACAGACCTGCCAAAAATGTTCCCATAATCTTGGACTAAAATGGAGAAATCTAGTCCACAGAACAAGTGATTTGGGTCACACCTGGATGACAGGGTTCAATTTCAGGGCCACGGAAAACTGAGCCATGCTTAGAGAGATGGAATCACTGCAGTTTAAGGAAGTGACCACAATCAAATAAGGAAGGAGATAAAATATTTGCCTGGAGATTAAAAGGTTGTGCAGCCCTCGGACTGCCCTGTGGGGAAAGGAGACTCTCGGTCTGAGCTGTGTGCAGGTTAGGAGGGAATGCCCTGAGCAGTCTGGGTGCTGAGTGGAGGTGACCCCTAGATGTCCACTTTGGGGAGCTCCATGAGAGCCTGAGCATCAGAGAGGCCCTGAAGTCAGGGACGGGCCTCTAGTCCAACTCTGATTCTAGGAGCCTTCTGATGACAATAATTTTAAAAGGAAACTACCACATACCTAGAATTTGAGTCAATCGTAGTAATGAGAGTTTCCTGAAACGCAAGAAAAAAAGTAAAGTAAGTTAAGGGGAACAACTGAATGAAAAACCTGTTTTATAATAAGATCACAGTATTTCATCTACTGCATTCTTCAAAAAGATATTGAAAGGGGAAATTACATCATCTACCTCTTTTCACTAAAATGCCTAATTTCACCATTTTTTTCTGAAGAATTTTAAGAATGATCTACATTTAAGTTACTTATGAACGTAACCTAGAGAATTTGAAAGAAAATGTTAAAAACTAATAGGCTACAGATCCTGTATACAACAGATATCTGAATAGTTTAATGTAGAAAAGGACAAGATATGACTTACACACACACACACAACCCCATCATTACCTTTAAGAAGAAAGTTTAATTCTTCAAAATCATGAATGAAACGTTCAATAAAAACATTTATTTCATTCAAATCTTATATGAAGTAAAAGTGTCCCCAAATTATATTAAAAGGACATGTCAACCAAAAAGAAAAAATTAAGATCCGCCATTTAAATTGTAACACACTGGGCAACCTTTCTTTAGCTCTGACAAGACAGTTCTAGAAAGATCCTGGAGGCCTTGGGGACTGACCTCACACTGTCATCCCAGAACCTCCTGACCAGGACACCCTGTGTGCTGGGGTCTGTCACAGTTCCGGCCTGTCTACCTCCCAGCAGCTTCTGAGAGTTCTTGTCAGACAGGGAGAGTGAACTGAGATGGCTCTAGAAAATTCACACTTCCCCAAACAGCCGAATGACTAAGGCCTCGTGACTCAGAAACTTTTCCAGGCTTGCAAACGTGTTAAGAAGCACTCTTTTGAAACCCACACCAGCAAAAGCATTAGGACCGCGGAGGAAGGGAGCCATAAATAAGGCGGCAGCAGCATTTCATCTCTGCAGGGTCTCAAAGCACAGAACAAAAAACCGTTAGCAACACAAGCAGCGGTGTGCAGGTCTGCATTGAAGCGAAGCTCCACACAGCAGGCATGCCGAAGCTCCCGCCGAAGGGCGGACACCTGTTAGGGATGAGCAAGCAAAGCAGTTCAGAGACCCACCAACCTGGGAACATGGCCGTTAAGAATCCTGACATGGGGGGGGGGGGGGAAATAAATCATTAAAAAAGAAAACTTTACATTTCTTATCTTTTTGAACAACGTTCAATCCTTGAGACTACAACAAGTATTCACAACTACTTCAAGGTGATTTTTCAAATTGTATATATCATAAGTAACATTAACAAAGATTCTTAGAAATGGAATATGCAAAAATACTAGTTGGCTATTAGGAGAAAGACATAATCAACTCTGCAACACAACAGTTCATTGAAGGCAAAATATTATTGTCACACCAGAAAGTTAGGCCTGAAATAGTAAACAGCAGGCAAACACGCATCCGTTACTTTGTTACACGGAGCACATGCACATGCACTTGACCGAACATGCTGGCAACTGCGTGGACACAGCTGGCCTGGCCTCCCTCCGCCCACTTGGCCTGAGCACTGATGCTCAAACACCACTGGTACGTCCTCACCACCAGCAGCAACAGTGAAATTGTACAGAGCTAACCTTTAAGAGATCATATGAGATTTTGATTGCTTGTTAACTGTTAGGCTTTTACCTAGGATGCTTGAGAATAAAGCAATTTGAATTACCAATTAGCCCATTGATGAAAACGGAAACGGTCTTTCCTACCCAATGCTCTGAAGGGGTTAGGTTCGGCTTTCGTATGTAACTAACCAATATGTCAACCACAAACAGGGAGAAAAGACCATGGTTTTTGTTACAGGCTCTGCCACCGGTTCACTCTGTGACCTTGAGTAAACATGTGGCAGGTTAACAAGCTACCTCCCAGCAGCTTCTAAATGCAGTTCATATATGAAGACATGCAAAGGACATCGAGCTTTTGCAAATCAAAGTCATCTAATTTAGCCCATTCCTTAATTGGAACTCTTTCCTAAAATACTATTGTCAGACTAATGCTTTTCATTAGTGAAGTCAAGAGCCTACATAAGCTTAAGATTAAGAGTCTGCAAACCTAAAATGGGTGCTGGCCCTGGTGCTGCAGTGTGACCTTGAACAAGGTCAAACTTGGGACAAGTCTGAGTGTCGTAGTCTTCACCTTCTCAGGGATGCCTGAGAACCAAATAAAGTCATACATACAGCAATGCTTTGAAAACTACAACCAAGAAAAGGCACTCCAACCTCTAATATCCTCCATGTAAGCAAATTGGATATAGATTTGTTAATTTAAAATGCATCATCGGAGAAAAAGCAAAAACTTCATGTACCGCAGAATTTCTGCAGTCCAAAAAGCAGCCTCAGAAAAGGTGCTAAAGCCATATGAACCAACAGCAAGGATTCTACGCAATTGTTACAGAGGCAATTCAAAGTCTGAAGTCCATTTTTTATCTTCCCAAAGATAAAAACGTTGAACTTAAGCCTTCCTTGAGTAGGGGAAGAGAGAATATAAATGAAACAGCATCACGCAGACTTTCACTGTACTATCTGGGTTGCCAAGGTAAAAGTGGCCCTTCGTGCTCTGCTAGATTAACTGCTTGATTTTCTTATAGATTAAATTTAGACAATGTCTTGTCAGTAACAGCTGCTAAATGAGTTCACCAGATCCTAACACGAGCCCTGTGCAGTCTTGCTGCGGTGTTCTCTCTAATAAAACCAAGAACATAAACCAAAACAGAAAAAGTATACTTTCTGTCATTTGTTTTAAGCAAACTTCCCCCACAGTCCTTTAGTTACAGGCCCAGGACTATTTTTCCCACTTGCCCTTTCAGGGACTCGAGCGGTTGTCACATTTCTTACTATGGATTTATCTTCAAGTATGAGTGAGATGACCACCTCAGAGAGAAGGGCTAGAGTACCTGGCACAAAATTAGTATCACTAGAATTATTTTCCTTTCCTAAGGAAAAATGCACCAAAAGTTATCATTTAATTTAAATAACATTAAATTTATCCAGGATTTACTGAACATCTACTATGCCTGAGATGTGGAGATGAAGACATAGGAAGTGTCCTCAAAGGTTTAAGCTTTAAGACCTCAGCTCAATCAGATTTTAAGTTCTCTGAAAATAGGGCTGAGTCAAATCTTTCACTCCAAAGGCACAGTGCGAGTTATAAAAAGGAGCTAGCTCTTCAAAAGTTATCCACTGATAATCATGATGGGAAAATTCTCTTAGGTATTGAGAGTTTATGATGAGAACACACGACTCTCCTAATGAAACTTAATGACTGGTCTATACAAATACAAAAGTGTGTTGAGCCAACCCAACAGGTTACATATTCATTTAACCTAGAAACACGCCTGTGCTGGCCTCAGTCAGGTCAGTAAGAGACCTTTGCCCTACAGTTTTCAGGGATGAGATACAGTGGCAATAACTATGGCCACCGAGACACCAAGATGGTCACACTTACCGTGGGCTTGGTTATCTTTGGTCTGTCATCCTGCAATAAAAAACAAGACACATTACAGAATGGAAACGTCTACAAATGTGCCATTTCCAAAGTGCTCATTTTACTGCGATTTCTAAAAAATGTTATTGTTCAGTAATTATCATTTCAGGTTCATTTATCTAGGCTGCTAAACACAAAGTTTGATCCCACTGACTTGACTGCAAAAACTGTTAGCTCATTAAGTGCTGAGAGGTATTTTGATCTAGAGTTCCAAGTTTAGAACAGTATCTATGATAGTCATACTTATATGTCGATGTGTGTACACTTATTAAACCCGGATTCTGATCTTTACTTCAGGGAGCAGCTGAGTAATCAGATTCCTCCCTTCTATCCTCTCAAATTGCCTTTGAGATGTGTGTATGTGTGTGTACATGTGTATGTGTATATGCATTATATATATATGTGTGTGTATGTGTATATGCATTGTGTATATGTATGTATGTGTATATGCATTGTGTATATATGTGTGTATGTATATATGCATTGTGCATATATCCACGTATGTTTATATGCATTGTGTGTATGTATGTGTGCATGTGTATATGCATTGTGTATATATGTATGTGTGTGTACAATTTGTGTGATATCCTCAGTGAATTCCTGCAATCTCCCAATTGTAGTGTCATAATCTACTTAAACCTCTGGCTGAGTCAGTCCAAAATAAAGTGCATCTAAAACAGACCACAGGTGAATCCCATAGGCAGATGAGACAAAAATGCTACTATCACATCCTAAAAAGCCAGCACTCTACCCTCACAAGGTTTGGAAGGGAGAGTAAGGACAGGATGGAATGTTTTTAAGGGCAGGCCCCGCTGATTACCATAAAACTGCCCCCTTTTGGTGAAGTATGAAGATGAAAGTATGTGGGTGAATAAAATCTCCAGACAAATGAAGATTTGTATTTTCTCCAAGTACCATTCCTACCTCCACAAACCCCACTGCCAACTCAATGGAAATGTGGAAGTGCTCTAAACGGTCCCATCTACAGGCTTCCCTGAAGAGCCTCCTCTCTCCTTTCCTTCACTCACGCACCACAAGGCAGGAGCGCCCGCTGCTCAGGACACTGGGTAGCTCTGCTGCTTCTGTCCAAGTTTGCAGCTATTTTCCTGATAACTTCAGTGGACAGACTAGTGAAGTTGTACATGGCCATTTACAAATGCCACGGAAGGTCCTGCTTGATATAAAAGCTGAATCAGGCCAGTGTTTCCTCAAGGCCAGTCCATGAACCAGCACCAGTGGGGATGGTCCCAAAGATCTGGGGTGAAGTTTTATAGAAGGCAGAGTCTACTCATTTAATAGAGCTGATTTTTCTTAATTAAAATCATTCTTTAAGAATACAATAGTCTCAAACTAATGAAAATAGAAGGGGGAACTCTTAAAAAATATTTTGGTCAAAAAAGAAAACTATAAAAAATAAAATTATAGCCGAAACTGGTTTGGCTCAGTGGATAGAGCGTCAGCCTGTGGACTGAGGGGTCCCAGGTTCGATTCCGGTCAAGGGCATGTGCCTGGGTTGCGGGCACATCCCCAGTGGGAGATGTGCAGGAGGTGGCTGATCGATGTTTCTCTCCCATCGATGTTTCTAGCTCTCTATCTCTCTCCCTTCCTCTCTGTAAAAAATCAATAAAATATATTTTTAAAATAAATAAATTAATTAAAAATAAATAAATAAATAAATAAAATTATACTGGGTTTATACCCTCCACTTTCTAAAATTTGCTCCTCTGTGACCCTTCAGGGTCTGAGACACACTGTCCCCAGGGCATGACCTCGGGGTTAGAGGATTCTGACTCTAAATGCCAATGGAAAACGCAACCAGGGAAATGCAAAGAAACTTCTAGGCAATTTGTTTCTGACAAAAATGGTGTTATAAAATCAGGAGGAATTGTTCTACTTTACTCCTTTTTAAATCTTTAAGTCTACAGATTTGGGTAATGTCAACCTATAGCCTTAAAGAGAAAGAAGTAAAGGCCCCCAAAAAGCACGTACTGGATGCAGCTCCCCGATGATATATGTTTTGGACAATTCTCTAGCATCTGTTGAGTGCCCAACATCTTCAAAGTTCTCAGTAGCATCCCCTCCGGCTTGTTCCCGTAAGACTTCTTCCCCACCAGGATGCTGTTGAAAAGATTTATAGACATAAAAATAAGTAAATATTTTTCCAAGCAAATGAGATCAAGGAAGTGGCCAGTTTATTTAACCAAATAGGTTACTCCAGAAGTCACAGATGACAACACGTGAGTATAACTCATCCATAATGTGGATGAAAACAATATACTCCTTTGTATTCAAATGCCTTCTTGAAAGTACGGTAGAACCCTTCTCCAATGGTGTTCATTTCCCCAGGTTATTCACATGGCAATAACAGCATTAGGCAGATATTTTCAATCCTTTGGCAAATGTCCTCTTTACTTTTCCATAAAGCTCTCAAAATTGCTCTTCTCAGTCTTTTTGTCTTGAGTCCTGTCCTTTTGACCTCTTAGTTCTAAGTGTGAACCTACACCATAACCTTAGATGTAATTCATCTTTGAAAAGTACACTGTGCACCTGCCAAGTACAGAGAGGGGACAGCATGATGGACAGGTAAGCGAGTCCCCTGCTTTCTGCAGAACTTACCTTTTGGTCAAAAGGAAAATGATGCAAGCAGATATCATAGTGACTTGCTCAAGATGCTGCCATAGGGACATGTCATTGATAGGGAGCAGAAGCAAAGAGGAAGGAGTTCAATTCTACACAGGGAAGGGGTCTAAGGAGCCATTTGTGTAATCAAAGCATTTCAGTGCTCTTAGCTGCTTTAATTGGTAAAACCCAAGGATGGTCATGATGCAGGAAGGGGAGACTGACACTCGGGCCCAGTCATGGATATGGGTGAAGGCAAGGGAAGGAGTTCTCGATCAAATAAAAAGAAAGTACTTGATTATATCATCCTAAATCCTTTTTCAGGGGTAAAAACCTTCTTAAATTGAGCTTCATTATTACCTCAGATCAAATTCACCTGCCCTTGAGCTAAGCCCCTATAATCTCCAATAACCAAAGAAAACAATTCTCTCTTGCACAACTGACTGTAGTCTCGTCTTAATTACTCCCAATAATGGAAGACGTAAAGGTACATAGCACTTTAGAAATGTGGACTATTATTCTGTTTTGAAACCTGTTTCTCCTCCTTTTGTGTAAACATATCTAGTGCTAAATAAATTTACTTATTTTTTTCCTCTACTATTTATGAAAGTTATCCATCTACATTATAGAAAAATAGGAAAGCACAAAAATAAAATAAAAATCACCTAAATCACCCATAATCTTGCCATCCAGAGAAATCTGGGTATACATATGCATATGTGTGAATAATTTAAAAAAGAGAATTGTGATCGCGACCTTATGCATGCAGCTTCGTTAGACAAAAAGCAGATGATGATACATCGTACAGAGACAGTATGCCTAGTGGTTACTCCTCCAAGTGAACTTGGGAAAATAATGTGCTATTTGCATTATTATGTGCCATTTGCATTATTATGTACTCAGCACATACCACATGTTGCTATGTGCCAGAAAGCAAATATGCCAGGCTCCACCATGAGCAGAGGGTCGGGGCTCCCAACAATTGCTTAGGGACGCAACAGAAACTCTCCATGATTACAACTCAAGTGAAAACCAGTGCTCTGAGAAGCATGTCAAACTCAAAGGCTAACACGGGCCAAATAAACGAGGCAGGAGGCCTGTGGTCCACGAGTTTGACATGCTTGGTGTACAGCCACCAAGAAGCTGAGTGAGGGGCAGGACCGTGTGTCTGAACTTCCCAGAGAGGAGGGAGCAGGTGGGTCCAGGACCAGGTGGAGAGGGCAGGGCAGGCGCACAAAGCTCAGGCCTCTTCGGAGATTGTCATCTTTAGCAACGAGAAGTCATTGAGAGGCTCTAAGAAGGGAAGGTGACAAAATCAGGTTCATTTAAAAATTAAAACCCTGTTTTCAGCATGGACAGCAGCTGTCAGAGCAGGAGAGGATTTGGGAGACTGCAGTGAGCTTATCTAGGTGAGGGTGGCAGAGGGTGATGGGAGCCCAGGGCACGCTGAAGGCAGTGGGAGATGAGGAGGTAGATGGTGCGGGACAGACAGGGCGTACCCCAGCAGCCTTTGTCAAGTTGCTGTCAACTGACTTATCCAAGAAGGAATGGCCAACATCAAAGCTGAAGTTGGCCAAGGACCAGACGACTCTTCTGTGTGGCAGGTCTCAGGATCAAGTCTCACCAGTATTACATTTTTGCCAGCCCTGTGGTGTTAAAGGGTAAGGAATTTGTTAGTTCTTACCTGTATAATGACAACGCAATAAAGCCTTTCGTGATGCAGATGGTTTCAGTATATTAATTTAACATAAATGAATAATTTTATGGCTTCAGTCCTCCTTTTACAATCACTACAGGTCTGAAGTGATCTCTTAAAATCTTTTTCAGTTACACTTTATGTAATGTGAGAAATACAGTTGTAACTGTGCTTGTGAATTTGAGGATTTATTAAAGTTACGTGTCTGCCAGATACATACAAAAATGAGAGAAATGCAAATAAGGCAGAAAACAAAAAGTGGTAAATGAGTATCAATAAAGCCAAGAAAAGGAGAGGTCCTTCCAGTGGAAGGACAGGAAACAAAGGAAAGCCTGTAGACTTCACTGTATGTCTCAATATGCCCAATGCCTGACAGATGGGAGGGCAGGTCTCCCCTTCCCCTTGATTGGTCGGTCATTCCAATTAATGGCACTCGTTGAGCCTGTGTGGGGCTCAATGATCTAAAAGGTGTATCCCCTGTTTTCTAAAAACAAAAACACACACAAAACTAAGAGTCCAAAAAGGAAGAACATATTATAAACTTGATAAATTTTTTTCACTGGGCACCAAATACCTATAATGATGAAGCAATACCGACATCCTTCGGACAATGCTAATAAACAGAACAAGCTCAGCTTCTCCTCTCATGTTTAATTAGCAGTGCCACAGTATTTCCAGGTAAACACTGTTGAGTTACCTGCTGTGAAAAGTCCACATATTTAAAACCAATGACCAACATGTCCCTCTTCACCTGTGATCCCATCTACGCTTCCTCTTTTGAAATATACTGCAGTGGTAAGAATTTGCTTTAATAGGATAAATACTGAGTGCAGGTGGTGTTCTTCTGCTTCCTGCGGGAGAGCGAACAAGGTTATCAGGGTTGGCCCCACACTCACAGCCTCGCCTCAGAGACCATACGATAAGCTTTATTCGTAACCAACAAGTTCCGAGAATCTCACTGAGAAGACGGTGCCCTATGTTTAACACTACAAAGCTCAATGGTTTATATCATTACAAAAAACATGACCCAAACCCAATAGACAATCCTCCCATGTCCTACTGAGGTCACATCTGAACTGTTCAAGTGAGGAAGGTCAGACCCCAAAGGGCTGCTGCCGGCTCCCCATCTTCTAACCTACTTCGGTATAACTAGTAGCGAGAGAGATAAAACATGCAACCAATTTGTCATGCACAGAAAAAAAAAAAGAAAAAAAGACTATAACACTAAAATAGCACCAGATGCTTCACCAGAGCAAACCAGCACAAACAGATGAGGGTCAGATACAGAGAAAGCACAATTGATGGAGCATGGCCTTGGGTTACATTACTTCTGTATGAAAAGACCAAGATTTATAGAGTCAACACAATGTGAGTGGTGCCTCAAATCCTGTTTTGAATGAGGCCAAAAAGAAATAATAAAGTAATAACTGCATTACTAGAGAATGCACCATATCCAAGATTTATTAAATTGCAGGAAAATTCTATTTCATATTTAATGGTGTACACTAAAAATGATCTCTAAAAACTGGCAAGATAAAAGAAACTTAGATACTACTCCTGATGCAGATGATTTCAACAAATTCTTGATATATAGGCAATAATCTTAAGGAGGCAGAAAATGTGAATAAAATCAGTCATTCTGCACTCAAATACACAGCCTGCAACTACATTAATTCAGAAACTGATGACTGAGTCAAAACACTCTCCTGGTCCATTCTTCATTGCTACTGTTTATTTCTACAGCCATTTTACAGTTCCTTAGATTCTCTACTCAAAATATAAAGATGAGTTTAAATTATAATTTTGGCATCACCTTTGCTAGTTATGTTCCCCTTTAATACAAAAGAGGTGAGCAAAGTTTTCCACCCCAAAATATGCCTCTTTGGGATATTGATCATTTTACACTGGTTAATTGTAAGCAACAGCAGATGTGGGAGAAGCTCTGAAAAGCAAGTAGAAGTTACAGCTGTGAAACGATTTTTACATTTTTAAGGGAAGCCTCCATCTGTAAGGTATCTCCCTCACAGTACCAGGCCTAGAAGTGGGCTAGAAGTGTGGCCCTGAGGACTTGACGGAGCACAGCTGGCACACCACACCTGGAAAGCTTGTTCTCCACGGCAGGTGAACAAACTTCTATCTTGTTTAAGCACAGTTGCTTGTGGTTCTTCTGAGCTTAATTCTAATTACTACATTCATCATTTGTCAAGAAATACCATGTGCCAGACACTAAAGTCCTGAAGCACATAAAAGATGCAAGTGTTGAGAAACTTAAAAAGATAAATTAGGATAATGGTCTTCACATACATTAAACAACTGGAGAAATATTAAGGGACCATCTTAACATATCCAATATTTAATAATTGGGTTATCTTCATAGATATCTTTAAAAATAGTCGGGGCCCTTTAGGTTAGAATTTGGATGAACAGCGGAGATATAGATGAGAAACCTCAAGAGGATTCCGAGCAGGGATGAGGCTGAAGGGCCGAAATGTGCTCGTGAGCTGGGTGAGTGAAGAGGTACGTCTGAATAAAGCAAAATACGTGAGGCTGTGCCGGGGCTCATTTTGTGAGCCAACTTGACTGTCCAGGGCAGGGGTCCTCAACCTTTTTAAACAGGGGGCCAGTTCACTGTCCCTCAGACCGTTGGAGGGTCGGACTATAGTTTAAAAAAAACTATGAAAAAATTCCTATGCACACTGCACATATCTTTTTTTGAAGTAAAAAAACAAAACGGGAACAAATACAATATTTGTATTTGCATGTGGCCCGCGGGCTGTAGTTTGAAGACCCCTGGTCCAGGGGATGCTTAGACTGTTATTTCCAGGTGTGTCCGGGAGGTTATTTCCAGATAAGAATAGCATTTGCATTGGAGGACTTAGTAAACGAGGTGACCTCCCCTTTAGGTGGGCTTCCTCAAACCCAGAAGAGCTTGAATAGAACAAAAGGCAAGGTGGAGGAAGGGAGAATCTGTCCCTCATTTCCTGCCTTATTGTTAGGGCTGGGACATGCCATCTCACCTTCTTCTGCCCTTGAACTGGGTTTTGCCCCATTGGCTCCCCTGGCTCTCAGCCTACAGACTTGAACTGAGTGGCCCACCAGCTCTCCCGGGTCTCCAGCTTGCAGATGGCACAACCTGGGACTTCTTGACCTTCCTCATAATAAATTCCTTACACTCTATGGATCGTCTGTGTGTCCTGTCTTCTGTTTCTCTGGAGGACCCTGGCTAACACAGCTGGATGGTTAGAATGAACCAAATGAGGTAGGGCCGTGAGTGCCTGTGGGAAAGGGCGGACAATGATGAGTTCTTGAACAGCAGCGTGACTCAAACAAACATCACAGGATCACTGTTGGAACAGCCAGTCTCCAAGTGCAGACAGGCATCTGGCCAGTGGGGGCAGCACAGGGCCTCTCTATCCCCACCCCCTCCCCCAGGCACAGACTGCAGCCTTACAAAGTTCAACCGCCTCCACCTCCTCTGTGGGCCAGCAACAAAAGCATGACACTCAGCTGGAGATCTTGTTCAAAAGGGCAGGCCTGAGGGAGGCCGAAGGTTAAAATCACAGAAGTTGAGAGTTTAAAAGAACCTCAGAGACTCAACATTTAAAGTCACAGATGAAGAAAGCGGGACCCAGAGCAAATAAGCCCAATGTCACGCTGACAGTTCATGAAGGAAACAGGCCCAGGCCCAGTTTCTGGCCTCATTCGGCCTCCCCCTCTTTTTGGAACATGCGTATTAAATGACTATTTTTATGCTTCTGAACAAAGTGACTTTAATAGGATGCCTTAGAAAAACAAAGTTTCTTCGTACATTTCCCTTTTGGAAATTTAGAGGGAAATCTGTCTCGCTTCTTCTAGACCCCAAGAAACTTTGTCCTGCCTTCCTGAGCCTTAATCATTAAGATTCAAAGGTCTCTCTCTCTCTCTCTCTCTCTCTCTCTCTCTCTCTCTCTCTGTCTCTCTCTCTCTCTCTCTCTCTCTCTCTCTCCCCCTAGTTCAGGGAACTACCTGGCTACCAGGTTGTCTCCGAAAAACTCAGAAGGGTGTGCAGATGTCCACTCAGTGACACCATGTGCTCTAAATCCATCCCCCCCCCCACCCCCAGAGCTCGCTTAAACTAAGCAAAAACAAATGACAATAAAAACCTTTCCACTTAGCTGTACTGTTATACAGACCCAAAGTCCACCAACTCTGGAGTACCTTTCAATCCAAACACTTAGCCCTGCCAAAATAGGTGTGGTAAACAATGACTAGGCAGAATAATGTGTGCACAGAGATTATCTGCAGTAATGAAGCCAAAGATGAGAACAACTCAAGGGAGTGTGGAAAGTGAACGATTTAAAAAGATTAGGAACAAAATAAGTTGCCTAACCAAATGTTTTCTATCATTTCTAGATGCTGTTTTTCTGAGGAGGCAAAGAATGAAGGGCCTCGAAGCTGGCTGGGTTCTCCAGACTTGCACACGGCGCCCCCACATGGACTCCATGGAGGGGCACCTCTGGATGGCACTGCCTGGGGCTGTGCATGCCTCTCATGCTGAATCCTCAAAGCTCAGGACCAGGCTGGGGAGCATCAGCTCCCTGTCTCACTTTGAAGATTATGGGATGAAATTTACAAGGCCCATCTGTGCATTCGCCCAGCTGGAAACATCTGCAAAGTCCCCTGGCCAGCTAGGTTGTTACCTTGATGGGGAAGCCACGGCCCTGGCCTTAGAGGTTACAGTCCAGGGGAGAGACAGGCAGGCAGACAAGTAGCAGCTACACACAGCAGCCCCAGGTACGGGAGCCAGCACAGTAGATGAAGGGATCCACTCGCCCTGGAGCAGAAGGCTGAGAGGGTGTCAGGGAGAGGCTGAGGTGGGAAAGGTTCAGGAGATGTTCACCAGGTGAGCGCGTGGGGACGTTTTAGCAAAGGAAAGGACATTGCAAAGACCCAGAGGCGGTAACACAGTGGCACCCTGGAGAACTGCAGGTGCTGTGCGTAACCCACTTCACAGGGATAACAATGCACGATGAAGTCCAACTGGAACTTGAAGCAAACACAATGAGTGTGGAGGGTTTGTGGGAGGAGCTGGGCTTAAGAAGGTCTCATACTCCACCAATCACAAGAACCCTACAGGCAGAACAATATTTATAGTAAAGCTCTGTGGTCCTAACTTCCTTTCCCTTAACCTCCTTCTCCCGCCTGGCACACAGGCCAGAGTGTGCACTCAGCTGCCTTGTCTGTGTGCTCTGGGTTGCACCCCTTCCTTTTTCCCAAATAAACCCTTCTTGATGACAAAACACCTAGTCGATATTATTTTTCAGTCAACAACTATTTGTTAGTTTTTTTTTTCACTCTTTGTTACTGGATTAGGGGGAGGCAATTAGAAAGGAGAATTAAACACATATCACCTCCCAACTACTTTATAAATCACACTTTCCCATATCACTTATCTAAAGTTACATGAAACCCCTCGTTAGTCACATATTGGCCCAATCTCATGGCAAGCACTTTCCCCTTTGTGACGCCTGCCTGACCCCTCATGGGCTCCCACCTTCCTACACTCCTCCGGGTTTCCGTGTCATGCTCTAGACCAGCGGTTCTCAACCTGTGGGTCGCGACCCCTTTGGTTGAGACCCCTTTCACAGGGGTCGCCTAACACCATCAGAAAACATATATAATTACATATTGTTTTTGTGATTAATCATTATGCTTTAATTATGTTCAATTTGTAACAATGAAATTGGGGGTCACCACAACATGAGGAACTGTATTAAAGGGTCGCAGCATTAGGAAGGTTGAGAACCACTGCTCTAAAAGAAGTAATGGATTGTTCTCCAGTAGGCATAGCTTCTGTGTCTAGGCAGCCCCATGCTATGGAAAAAGCACAGGCTGGGGACAGGACCAGGAGCTCAAGGTGCAGCTCTGCCATGTCTTCACAGGACCCAGGAAGGTACTGATCTTTCTGAGTGTCCATTTCCCCAGCATCAACTATCTCCCTCCTCCTAAACTGCACAGAAGAGTAAAGGATATAATTAGTAGAATGCCTGGCATATAATAGCCATTTCAGTAATATCGAGTTCCCTTTTGTCCCTACCCCCACCTGATATTGCCACAAAAAACCTGTACAGACCTGCTACAGTTCCTGATCCAAAATGCTGAAGGCTACATCCAGCACCACCCTCTTCTTCCCACCCCCACCCACCTTCATCTTCAAGTGCTTTCTATGGATTAAATCAACTGGCCTGATTCTCCTGAGGCACAGCACCAAATGACGAGAGACAACAGAAACAGGTATCATAAGGACAATGACATTTTCTACCGGGGGTCATCTTTAGAGGCCATTAGGATGAGGACAGAGAGATAATGCAGCTGTGAGCTGGAGAGCTGGCAGTTCTGCAGAATGCTATTACAATTCTCTCTCCTTGAAAAAGAGAAGCAAAATTCTTGGTTATTTTTAGAAAAGCTCACATCATAATAACACAAGTATGTGCCAGTTGTGTGGGAAACAGGGAGGAAAGGGGAAATAAGATGGAAACAGAGGACAGGGTGCTTTGTGTTCCTCCACTGGACTGTCCTCTCCCCGCTGAAGGGATGTTACTGAGCAGCTACTATGTGTCAGGACACAGGGCAGTGAAGGAGGACGTGCGCGGCTGCTGTCTGGTAGAGAACGGCAGCCAGCAAACAAGAAACATGCAGACATCGCCTCAAGTGCTAGCAGAGAAATGAAATAGGACGATGATGTAACAGAAAATTCCCCTTTCTGGGAAGCGACACTGAGCTGTGGCCTGAAGGGGGTGGTGACCAAGGGAATGTACACCAGGCAGAGGGAAGGAGCTAAGCAGGGAAATGATAAGTTGTTTCCACCAGATAAAGCTGTTTTGATTTCCTTCCAGAAATTACATTCTTTAATGTCGTAATAACATGTCACTCATCATGAAGACTTGAGCGATGGAAGCAGTGGGATCCTGAAGGCTCTGTCAGGACACGTGCTCTGACACGGGAGAGAATCCTTGACATGTGCGGCAGGGACTCGAAGACAGAGGGCAGCGTGAGGAAGCTCGGAGGACAGACTTCCTGCAGGGCCCGGAGGCGACACTGAAATGGAATGGGGGCACTGGCAGACAAGGGGGGTGGGGGGGAGAGAGAGAGAGAGACCCACAGAGGACAAGGACCCACAACCAGCCAGGGAGTGGGCAAGGGTGGGCCAACACTAGCTGAGCCCACAGACGGGTGGACTTCACCAGAGCAGGAGCCTCATCAGACTTCTACTCAGAGCGGCCTGTGCGAGCCAGTGATGTAACAGGCCTCCTGAAAGCATGGGCCCTGCTCACACACGCCCAGCACACATGCAAACAAGCTCTTTCTTAAACAGCACAACACTGACTCTCAGCACCACCCAGGTACCCTGCGTTAGGAACCTCCGGAGGCCTTGAAGACCACCAGGTCTTTCTTTCCTTCTAGACCCCCCTGTGAAGAGCTGCCACAGCTCTTTCCTTCACCTTCTAGAAGGCAACACGGGAAATGACAGCAGGTGGGAAGAAAGGCACTATTGGCCCCCTCTTTACCTTCCAAGGATTCTCTTTATGTTCAGATCTTTCCATTCACAACTTCCCTTTGTTTTCTTCCTGGTTCCTACAGAGAACTCTGGATATGGGGAGAAAAATCTCAAAGCAAATGATGGCAACGATGTACAGGTAGGGTGGCTTTTTTCTTTGACAGTTTTGCTAGTGGTCCTCAAAAATGCCTGCGGTCTCACGCCCGTGTCACAGTCAGCAGAGGAACTCGGGCTGGGGAGTCCCATGTCCTGGATTGAAAACCTGGCTTTCAATCCTCACCCACTGTGTCATTTGAGCAATTAACAGAGGCTCCTAAGCCACATTTTTCTTACCTAAAAAGGGCACCAGCACCACCACTACCCACCTGAGAGGCCTGTTTTCAGAATTAACAGCGCAAATGCACAGGGAGTTTTATGCATTTTGGCACACCATCTAGCACACACGGAATGGCCATCAATGCTCAGTGAGTGTCCACTGCTATCACAAGTAGTATTAGCCCACCGGGGATTTCTACTAGGGAGGGAGTGTGAATGACAGTTATTAATACTTTCTGCAGAATGTGGGAGGCGGAGGAGTAGGCTGGATATATTTTGTGTCCTGGCCCGTTTTTGTTCAGCTCTGCCACTGAGAAAACAGCATGCGTGGAAAGACACAGGTAGAAACAGGCACATCCAGGCCATCGCTGCAGAAGAGGCAGAGGCTGCCCGCCCTGCGAGAAAACCGCCAGACACAGAAAACCGCTGACGGGACCTAGGGGAGGTAAACGCCGCCCACTTCCCTCCCCACCATCAATGCTGGTTCAATGTCATTGTTCTGGACATGCCGTCCTCATGGGCAGGCCAGAGACCTAATTCTGGGGGTGGAAGAACGTGACTTTGTGCCATCATCCCTGAGACGTCAGCTCTCACTAACCAAAGGTCACTTACCACAAGGCTGCACAGGCCAAATTCTACTGACCTGGCCTTGAACTGACTTCTCCCACGCACGTCTTCAACTCACTTTCCTGTCCCATGTGGAACTTGATAAAAGACACAGGGAGCCAGTTAATAAATACACTTAATGGCATGTTTCCAAGGAAACAAGTTCAAAGGTAATAGCGGGGGGAAAGCACACACTAAGATTTGGAGAACACCTCTGAGCCACTGCTGTTTAAATCCCCCCTTGAGTCTGCTACCTCTGGCCACTGTCCTGAGCACTTGGACATGGACTGCTGCTGACAACTGTGGCTCATGTTAGCTTAGTAAGGCATTATTCACTGTAGTTGCACTTTTAAGAGAATTTACATGTTAAAGGGGCTGAAAAAAATGTTTCCATGCATTTCCCCTTTTGACAAAAAATACACACCCAAATAATTCAGGAGAGGAGGTGGGAAATCAGCCAAGCCTCTCAGGTGTTTATTACAGAGAACTGAACCTGGGAGGACAGACCTGGCTACCTTGTGGGCCTTGTGGTCATTGGTGTGACCGACGTGGAATATAATTATAACACGTAATTTATTAGTAAACTTTAACTTATAGGTGTACCGGTTAATAATGCAGATTTCTTTCAATAGAAGGAGTTACACATATGTTGATATATATGCAATTTGATATGTATGTTATTTTGTTGTGTTGACAACAAGCTTCAAAACTTCCTACGTCAAATTTTCTGGAGGTGTTAACATCATAGATATTTTTACGCTTAAAAATGTCGAATTTCATGCCAAAAAAAAAGAGCATTTGCAGGAAGTTTTAATTCATTACTTTATTTTGAAGAAAAGTGCTGCTGAAAGTTATCGTATACTTCGGGAAGCTTACGGTGAACATGCTCCATCTCAAGATACTTGTGAACGCTGGTTTAAATGCTTTAAAAGTGATGATTTCAATGTGAAAGACAAAGAACATCCAGGTCAACCGAAAAAGTTTGAAGACCAACAATTACAAGCATTATTGGATGAAGATGCGTGTCAAACTCAAAAACAACTTGCAGAAAGATTAAATGCTCAGCAAACAATTACCAATCGTTTACAAGCAATGGGAAAGATTTTAAAGAAAGGAAAATGGGTGCCACATCAACTGAACGAAGGACAAATGGAAAACCAAAAAGTCATCAGTAAAATGTTGCTTCAACGGCACGAAAGAGTCTTTTTTGCATCGAATTGTGACTGGCGATGAAAAGTGGATTTATTTTGAGAATCCCAAATGCACAAAATCATGGATTGATCCAGGCCAACCATTAACATCGACTGCAAGGCCAAATCGCTTCGGAAAGAAGACAATGCTCTGCATTTGGTGGGATCAGGAAGGTGTGGTGTATTATGAGCTCCTAAAACCAGGTGAACCGTTAATACTGATCGCTACTGACAACAAATAATCAATTTGAACCACGCTTTGATTGTAAAATGACCAGAATGGGCCAGAAGACATGGTAAAGTAATTTTGCTTCATGATAACGCACCATCACACACTTCAAAACCAGTAAAAGACACGTTAAAAGATCTTGCCTAGGAAGTATTAACCCACCCGCTGTATTCACCAGACCTTGCTCCTTCAGATTACCACTTGTTCCGATCGATGGCACACGCACTTTCTAAGCAGCACTTCAAAACATACGAAGAAGTGGAAAATTGGGTCTCTGAATGGTTTGACTCAAAACAAGAAAAGTTCTATTGGGATGGTATCCACAAATTACCTGAAAGATGGGGAAAATGTGTAGCTAGCAATGGACATTACTTTGAATAAAGCACTTTTGATGTTTCTCTTGAAATTATCCTGTTTTCTTTGATTACAAAATCTGCATTATTAACTGGTACACTTGGTAAAAGATTTCAAAACTTTCCCAAGTGTTTTCACATATATTATTCCTGCCAGGGTTCACAAGTCTGAGGTAGATTCAGGTGGCAGAATGCTCCCAACTTTAGAAGAAGATGATTTAGAGAATTTATCTGACTTGCTCCAATCACCTCAACAATAGATCTACGATTTAGATCCAGTTTTCTGCACCCCCATCCAATACTTTCCCACAACTGCCTCATGTGACAGAGGCTGTTCAGACTCCATTAGATACAGAGAACAGATGGGTAGCTCTCAGAGGGGAGGGAGTTGAGGGCTTAAGTGGAAAGGGAAGGGATTAAGCAAAAACAAACAAACATCAAAAAACAACTCACAGACACGGACAATAAATAGTACGTGATTTTATCATAGGGAAATGGGAGGTGAAGGGAGGTAGCAGAAGGTCTAGGGGGGATAAATGGTGATGGAAGAAGACTTGACTTGGGGTGGTGAACATACTATAATATACAGATGATGTATTATAGAATTGCATACCTGAAACCTGTAAATTTTATTAACTGACGTCACCCCAATAAATTAAATTTAAAAAATTTAAAAGGTACTTATTGTTTATGTTTTGTGGTTTGGAGAACTTTTAGAATAACAGATAGCTGCATTAAGGAGAAATGAGCATTATTTACCCCTTGAGTTTCCCACAATGACCTGCAGAGTCTGTGCTCCCTTCAATTTAGAATTTCCATCTACCTTAAAGATACATAAAAACAAAAGTTAGCAATCTCGAGTGTTTGCTTTGAAACAATAAAAAAGCAACTAAAAAAACACAAATTAAAAACCTCTTCTCAAAAGTAGCAAAAAGTTACCAAAAGAAAAAAGAAATTATGTAGAATCTACACAGGTTTACATTACCTGGTGGCCTGTGAGACTGAGTCTGCCGTTGCTCACCCATAATGCCTGAGCCACTTAAACACCAGAGTCTCTTTATATTCTCCTCCTATGGATTTCATAATTTCTACTTTTATTTACCAAACTACATAGGTTAAATAATTTGCAACCGCAGCTTTGTAGTAGTATAAGATTTAGAATATTACCAAACTTCCTTGAGAAAAGCAAAGGCATTTAGGATTTTACCCCTATATACCATAGCCCTATCAAGGGTAAAGATATATGGTTTTTCAAAATTAAGGACACTGAGTTTCAGACACCCATAGTCTCTTTCCAGATTCTAGGAGCACTGAAGTCCCCCAGGCTCAGAACCACTGGTCTCTGCAAAGTAGGCAGCCATGTTCAATGGACAGTAACAAAAAGTAAGTCCTTACCACAAAAGCTGCTATAAAGATACTGCCTAAGATGATGAAAGCAAAAGAGAGTCTGGAGCCAGCAGCCTTATGAAGCAGATGATGCTAAGGATCAGCCTAGACCAGTGATGGCGAACCTTTTGAGCTCAGCGTGTCAGCATTTTGAAAAACCCTAACTTAACTCTGGTGCTGTGTCATATATAGAAATTTTTTGATATTTGCAACCATAGTAAAACAAAGACTTATATTTTTGATATTTATTTTATATGCTTAAATGCCATTTAACAAAGAAAAATCAACCAAAATAATGAGTTCGCGTGTCACCTCTGACACGCGTGTCATAGGTTCGCCATCACTGGCCTAGACACAGATCAAAAGCATCATAACCCCAGGGTCCCCAGAAATGGTCTAGAGCCGTGGTTGGCAAACCGCGGATCACGAGCCACATGCGGCTCTGTGGCCCCTTTAGTGTGGCTCTTCCACAAAATACCACATGTGGGCGCGCACGTACAGTGCAACTGAAACTTCGTGGCCCATGCGCATAAGTCAGCATTTTGTGGAAGAGCTGGTATTTTGTAGAAGAGCCACACTCAAGGGGCCAAAGAGCCGCATGTGGCTTGCGAGCCACGGTTTGCCGAGCCGCAGTTTGCCGACCACTGGTAGAGAAACCATTTCCATCTGCATCATGTAAAGGAGGGGCAACTGGATACAACAGCATTGTGCTCATAACATTTTTCAGGAAGATGCCTATTTCACAAATTAAACACCTACTGGCTGTCATCGATTATGCGACACCTTCTCTCCCTTCACAGCTCTTTGAAAAGCTGAGTCAATGCTGCCACCCAAATCACAGAAAGAGAAAAGTAAACCACCCTTTTTTCCTGGCCGCACGTGCCTACATTTTCATTTCAATAACTTCCCTTCGATGTTCTATACTCATCAACCCTACTGATAATATAATCATATGACCAGACCCAACTTCATCAGTATAAATTCAAAAACTAGAATTCAGGATTGAAAGAAAAAAAAAAAAACTACTTCAAAATACTTAGGCAGCTAAGTTCATAATCTTGCAGGTTGGTATCAGATAGTAACTCAACACCTGCTGCTACTTAGCTGACCACTAACATTAAGCCCTCTCAGGTGTCTACTGTCCTTTTGAACATGAAAACAGCTTCTAAGGCCATTGTTTCAGGGGACAGAGCCTGTTGTGCAACTAAGAAACTTCACCTACGTTCTTAACTGGGTGAATATAATTTTTTAATAACACTCTCCTGTTTCAATAGCACCTGCCAGATATACACCTTTACTTAAAATCTCATATTAGCACTCAGCTACCTCCGATGCTACAGAAAGAAAGCCCATACCCCACCCTGACCCGGCTGATGTAGCTGCCGGGAGCCGGTCCATCCTTGCTGTTTCAAAGGACCTGGCATATATGGCATACTGTTCTTAATATGTTTGCTCACCTTCTTGGCACTATGTGTTTTAACCAAGGTCTCTGAGAAAGGTTGTTTTCCCAGGTAGGGATTTTCCCCTGAAGTTAGGGAGGGAATAAAACCCCTCAACTAAGTGCCAGGCGGGTAATTAATCACTTTAACTATGAACAATCATGCTTAAGCTACATAATCTTTACTCCCTGGAATGGAGATAAGAAACGCCCTAACCTTTGTAATAGAGATTGATAGGATTGAATCAACTGGTATAAATACAGATGTAACAAGACAGCAAGACACAGAACTTAGAAGACAGAACTTAGAACACAGAACTTAGAAGACAGAACTTAGAACACAGAACTAAGAGACACAGAACCTACACAGAATCTAGAGACAGAAGAACTTCGCTGGAGAGAACATGGCAAAAGATCCTGGACTGAACCTGACTACAGAAATTGGCAAGAGAACCTGACTAGAACCTGGCTACAGAACCTGGCTGGAGAACCTGGAGAACCTAGCAAGAGAACATGGACACAGAACCTGGCTGGAGAACCTAGCGAGGGAACATGGCTACAGAACCTGGCTGGAGAACCTGGAGAACCTAGCAAGAGAACATGGACACAGAACCTGGCTGGAGATCCGAACCAGAACTTCGCTGGAGATCCAGACCAGAACTTGACTGGAGATCCTGGCTAGAGATCCTGGCTAGGTTGCTGATCAACTGAACTCCGTCTCTGTGTCATTCCTTCTTCACCGACTCCATCCACACCTTTGGGGACCCCTGGACCTGCTGGGGTTGGACCCCGGCATGTAGCAGTCTGCATTTACTGCGCGGATCTTGTGCCTGTGACCGTGTTATGCATTTATAATCACCCCATGAAGTTGGCACTATTATCATCTTCCCATTTTACTTTAAATAAGGCATCTGAGGCACAAAGAGTATAGGCAGCAGACCAGGGCCCTCTTCCACCCATCAACTATGCATTTCTCAACATGAACATAGACATGCATATAATCTATGGTATTCTGAATGATGCCATGGAAACCATGTTGTCCATAAGGATGGGTGAATTCATAGGATAAGGAGATCTTGCCCATAGTTAAAAGTTCACTTTAGAGGTAGGAAGCCTTCCCTCCCCCCAACAAACCTTCCCTATGTAGGTAAATTAGTGAAAACAGAATATTCTTTAGTTAGGATGCAAAATCTTCATGAATTTCTGGAACTTTTAAATGATAGAAGAAAGGGGAAGGGGAATAGGGGAAGATATCTTCTAGGCTTCTTTGTTTCAAAAGTAGGGATGAGATACTCAGCCAAGGCCTCGTAAAATAATGGAACAGGAGGACTGAGGAAGAAGGAAGAACCCCTGTCAGAGCATCCTGCAGTCCTGTGAAGGAGAAGGTGTGTGTTTAAGATGCAGGAAGCCAGGGGAAGGGATCCTAGGATGGTCCTGCTGGGGTGGGAAGCCAAAGGCTAGGACCCTGCCTTAAGCAGAGATGTCACAGAGAGTGACAACAAAGAGCAACGATGGCAAGTGGAAGACATTTCCCAAAAAGTGGAATTGGATGTCCTGGGAAAGCTGGTGCTGGGGATTCCAGCTAGAACAGGCTAGCGGGCATCCTCCCCTCTGCATGCTGCACTCCTTCTAGTAGGTCTACTTCCAAAGGATCAGTCGCCTCCCTCTTCTACCTAAACCCAGTCCGGCTCTGAGCCGATCAGGCCCTTTCCACTCAGGTCCACTGACTTGAGGCCCTATTTACTAGAGCCCACGTGTGAGGTTCCCAGGGGTACTCCCGATGGCTAAAGACAGCTATGTCACCGTTCCTGTCCACAACATTGTTTTCTGTCTTCCTGCTTCCTCTGGGGCTCCGGTGTCCTGACAGACATGGAGGCGAAAAGAGCTCACTCAGCAAATACCACATCGACTGATCAGAAGGAAGGTCCCGAAGAGAACAGTGGGACCCAAACTCAAGTCTCAGGGACGCTACTACAGAGAGCACAGTACCAAGTACCAATCGAGAAAAGACAGTGTATAGCGACTGCTGTAAACTGGGGTTTATTTAAATCACTAGAAACAGCAGTTTCTTGTTATCTCACTATAAGTACTCATTACCAAATATTAGTGATAACTCATTTCCTCAAACTTTACTTGGGAGCTATTCCAGTTTTACTCAAAAAAACATTGTATAATTCCCCCTTCCTGCCTCAAAACAATGAAATGTTAACAGTAAATGGTTTATAGTAAAGTTTAACAATCTCCTCTTATTATCTCCTTCTGAGAAATATACCCTTAAAGTTATGCAAAACACATTTTAGAGCAGGAACTCCTTCCAAACTAGGAATGATTTTTCTCCCCAAGGGGACACTTGTCAAAAACTGGGAACATTTTTGGTTGGCACAAGCAGGGGAGGGGTGCTACTGACATCTGGTGGGGGAAGGTGAGGGAGGCCTCCTGTACAACACAATGTGTAGGTCAGAACCCACAAAAAAAGAGAAAGAAATGATAGATGCTTCATAATATAAAACAGCCTACTAATCTTTCATAGATCTATCCTGTTTAATAGACACGAATAAAGAAAGCACACACTGGATCTTAAAACTACAGAATTACTTATACCATAGGGAGAGGAGAAACAGTTCCAAGTAGACATTTAGTGTCAATTACGCCTGATGCTATGCTCAGAGTGTTTAGTTCAAGAAACTGTAATGGCAAATAAGCTCTGTAGGTCAGCATAAGGGGCAGGAAAAATCAGATGTGAATCCAACAAAAACCACTCCTAACTAAAATAGGACACTATTTTATCTTCTGGCACTCCACCAATTGACAAGTTCATGGTGAAATAGCTTACTGATAAACATCAACTCCAATCTTTTTTAAAAGTTTTTTAAAATTCTCTGCAAAACAAGTCCCTTGATGCAAATTGTAATCCAGCTAAGCCCAGGCCTCCATCTCAGTTATCCCCTCAAACTATGTAAAGAATCCCCATCACTAAACATTCTCTTTTATTGTCTGCGGGGATGAAGGAAGTTAAATGTTAAGATTTATGACTCAGACTCCCCCACAGTGATAAAACACCTCCAACGGTAGCAAAGAAAAGCCCCTAAGAATTTATTGCAAAAATGATAATTTAATACAAAGAATCTTAACAAAAGGATGTTTTCCTTTACATTAAGCAAAGTTGTTTTACAATGTCCCAAGTTGCTTTAGGATCAAGTCCCACTGGCAGCGTTTTTACTGCTCTGTCCCTCTTCCTTCCTTCTTCAAAGCCAGCCACACACCCAAACGCAGTCCCAGGAGTCCAGCTCTGTACCTTGTTGCAAAGTCCTCATCAGGCGCGTTCACAATCACCGGGTGAGTGTGGGTGCGGTCCACACACTCTGACCTCAGAGTCCCCTCTGGAGGAAACCCCACAGCTCACGGGCGGGGGCATCCAACCTGCTCCTTTTAGGAATCCTCTCGGGGAATACCAGAAGCGGACGACCCCGTTCCATATGAAGATCCCGTTTATGCAAACTCAGGGGAAAAAGGGGATCTTTCAACATCCTCCCGCGTAGCTGCGCCCTCTGCCAGGGAAGCCGATCCAGCCGCGACTTTGTTTCCCAGTAAGTGCTGGGTGGTGCCGCGGTCCTACACGCCCGCGCAGGGGCTCCCAAGGCAACGCCTGCTCCGCCACGGCTCCCCCCCGCCACAGCGCGGGCCCAGGCGCCTCCGGTCGCACCCAAGTGGGCGCTCCCAGGAGTACACACACCGGCACGCAAACTCAAGAGGGCGCAGAAGCGGCGGCTGACCCTGTGTGTGCAGAGACAGGTGTGCACACAGAGACGTGCAGGCGCGGAGACCTCTCCCAAGTGTGCAGAACTGGGTGGGCAGGCTCAGGAGCACACGCACAGCCTCGTACCGCAACCCGGCCGCGCTTCGAACCACAGGTCCCAGCAGGGAACCTCCAAACCCCGGTCCGCGGCGCGTTTCACCAACTCACCTCCTCCAAAAATTTGGTCACATCATACACCTTGTGGTGCAGGATCAGCCAGGTGCTCTTGCTGTGGTTGTGCTTCTGGATCTCCTCCAGGGTGTAGTACTTGACGGCCTGGTCCGACGGCTCGGCCATTTCGGAACACCGCGAGCTTCAGGGCCAGCAGACAGCAGCCACGCCGGGCGGAGCAAAGCGCTTCTCGGAGCCAGGGCCGGGACATTCCCCCCGGGTCCCGGAGGGCGCCGGGGGCGGGCAAGCGGCACCTCCCCGAGGGCGGCTTGCTGACGGCCTCTGATGATTGGCCAGAATCCGTGTCTCTCAAGAGGCCACCCTCTACTGACACCCTCCACCCAGCGCAACCCGCCCAAAGCGGGTGTTGATTGGCTGAAGATGCCCTATTGCGCGAAGGGTGGGGTGATGCGGAGCTTTCCTTGCGCCTGCGCAGAAGGAGGAGAGGGAATCTGGGGGCCCGGGGGGGGGGGGGGGGTGACTCGGGTGACAGGGAGGTACACGTGCATGGGAAGGACGGACCCGGCGGGGTGGTCCACAGGGGCCAGTGACCGCACGTCAAAATCGCCGCTATTTCCCAATCACGTCCGATCAGCCAGACTGGCGCGTTAATTTCTAACAGTCTCTCCACGGCGAGCCTCGGGTAACCTGTTAGCGTTCCGTGAGAGATAAACGAGCCTCAGCCTCGTGGACGTTAAAACACACCGCGCGGTCACTTAGTCTGGGTGGGACAAGGGTACTGCCCAGAACAAACTCACTCTAATTTCGCTGGACCAACCCCTTCCCTCACCCCGCCCTCAAATCGCCCAGTTCTCACAGGAAAAACAAACCCAGGGGAACTGTTCATAAAAAGCTAGGACATTCTGGCCCTGCCAGGTGGCTCAATGGTTGAGCCTCGACCTGTGGGGTCACGGTTCCATTCCTGGTCAGGGCACATGCCCGGGGTTGGGCTCTATCCCCAGTAGGGGGCGTGCAGGAGGCAGCCAATCAATGTTTCTCCTTTACTCTCTCTGAAATCGATTAAATATATATATATATTAAAACGTTCTGATTATTTTTGTATCCTCTAAGACAAGTACTTGTCCGTTGTTGACCACTGGCTAGGTGAGTTCTGGTATTGGCTCTTTGTCTTGTCTCAATAGTATATGGCTCAGGTAAGTCCTAAATGATGGATAGCACCTTGAATAAAGTTGGAAGAATACCTCCCAGCAGCCTTATGGGAGGTACATATGAAGATTTACAAATGATTGAGAAAAACAAAGCGGAAAAATGCCATCATATTAAAAAGTCATCTGATATTTATTAAGGCCCTTTTCAGAAATGGTAGTTAATTCCAAAAGAACTTACACAACAGGGTGCACGTGTAGGTCATCTTCCCTGGGGCTGAGCACAGTTCTTCCATTTTTAGGTCCTGGATGAATGTCAGTTCCCACTTTCCCCCGCCCCTATGTCCTCTATAGGAATGCAGGCCATCAAGAAGAAAACATTTTTAGAAAGAACAAAGTAGGTGAGATCTCAATACCAGATATCAAACTGTATTACAAAGCCACTGTTCTTAAAACAGCTTGGTACTGGCACAAGAACAGACCTATAGATCAATGGAATAGAACAGAGAACCCAGAAATCGACCCAAACCACTATGCCCAATTAATATTCGACAAAGGAGGCAAGAGCATACAATGGAGCCAAGACAGTCTCTTCAATAAACGGTGTTGGGAAAATTGGACAGATACATGCAAAAAGATGAAACTAGACCACCAACTCACACCATACACAAAAATAAACTCAAAATGGATAAAAGACTTAAACGTAAGACGGGAAACCATAAAAATACTAGAGGAATCCACAGGCAGCGAAATCGCAAACATATGCCAAAGGAATTTCTTCTCTGATAATGCTCCTAGGGCAATGGAAACTAAAGAGAAAATAAACAAATGGGACTACATCAAAATAAAAAGCTTTTGCACAGCAAAGGAAACCATCAACAAAACAACAAGAAGACCCACTACATGGGAGAACATATTTGCCAATGATACCACCGATAAGGGTTTAATTTCCAACAATTACAAGGATCTCATGAAACTTAACAAAAGGAAGATAAACAATCCAATAAAAAAATGGGCAACGGACCTAGATAGACACTTTTCGAAAGAGGACATACAGAAGGCCGAAAGACATATGAAAACATGCTCAAAGTCACTAATTATACGAGAGATGCAAATCAAAACAACAATGCGTTATCATCTCACACCCGTCAGAATGGCTATCATCAACAAATCAACAAACAACAAGTGTTGGAGAGGATGTGGAGAAAAAGGAACCCTTCTGCACTGCTGGTGGGAATGCAGACTGGTGCAGCCACTGTGGAGAACAGTATGGAGCTTCCTCAAAAAACTAAAAATGGAACTCCCATTTGACACAGTGATCCCACTTCTAGGAATATATCCCAAGAAACCAGAAATGCCAATCAGAAAGGATATATGCACCCCTATGTTCATAGCAGCACAATTCACCATAGCTAAGATTTGGAAACAGCCTAAGTGCCCATCAGCAGATGAGTGGATTAGAAAACTGTGGTACATATACACAATGGAATACTATGCTGTGGTAAAAAAAAAAAAAAAAAAGGAACTCTTGCCTTTTGCAACAGCATGGATGGAACTGGAGAGCATTATGCTAAGTGAAATAAGCCAGTCAGAGAAAGATAAATACCACATGATCTCACTCATTTGTGGATTATAGAGAACAACATAGACTGATGAAAAGGGACAGACCCAAAGACTGAGAAACAGCGATCAGGCTATCAATCCCCAGAAGGAAAGTAGGGGAGGGCAGGGGTAAGGGGAAGAGATCAACCAAAGGACTTGTATACATGTATATAAGCCAAACCAATGGACATGGACAACAGGGGGATGGGAGCATGAGTGTGCGGGGCGGGGGGGCTAGGGGGAGATTGGGGGTTAATGGGGGGGGATGAGGACACATTTGTAATACCTTAACTAATAATAAAATTAAAAAAAGAAGAAAACATTTTTCCAAGCATCTCAAGCGTTTTTTAGCCTTTTTATATAATAGAATACGTTGCTTTTCAAATACTGAACCCACCCTGCATCTCAGAAATAAACCCCACTTGTCTATGTTATATAATAATTTTATTTATTAACTAGAGGCCTGGTGCACAAACTTTGTGCACTCAAGGGGGTGGGGGGTGTCCCTCAACCCAGCCTGTGCCCTCTTGCAGTCCAGGAGTCCTCTGGGGATGTCCAACTGACAGCTTGGCCTAAGCCAGCAGTTGGACATCCTTAGCGCTGCCACAGAGGTGGGAGAGGCTCTCACCACCACCACTGCACTCACCAGCCATGAGCCTGGCTTCTGGCTGAGCAGCGCTCCCCCTGTGGGAGTGCACAGACCACCAGGGGGAAGCTCCTGCATTGAGCTTCTGCTACCCTGGTAATCAGTGCACATCATATCGATCGGTTGTTCCACTGTTTGGTCGATTTGCATATTGGCCTTTTATTATACAGGATGAATTCTATGTTGAGTTTTTGCATCTATATTTATGAGATAGTGTGTAGATTTCTGTTTATGCATTACATTTGTCTGGTTTGGATATAAGAGTAATACTGCTTCATAGACTGAATTGAGAAGTATTCCCTTTTCTATTTTTCTGGAAGAGATTATGTACAATTGTTGTTATTCTTTAAAATTTTGGTAAAATTATCCAGTGAAACCATATGGGCCAGCAGATTTATTTTTTAGGAGGTCTTAAACTATGAGTTTAATGTCCATTAACAGTTATGGAGCTATTCAAATGTTCTGTTTCATTCTGGGTGAGTTGTGGTAGTTTGTGCTTTTTGAGGAACTGGTGCACTTCATCTAAATTGATAAATCTATGTGTATATAGTTGTTCATGGTAGTCCCTTACTATCCTTCGATGTCTGCAGGGTCTGTGGTGATATCCTGATATTAGTAATTTGTGACTTATCCCATTTTTTGTTGTCAACCTTGCTAGAGATTTGTCAATTTTACTGATCTTTCCAAAGAGCCAGCTTTTCTGCTCTTTGATTTTTTTCTATTGTTTTTCTTTTTTTTCAATGTCATTGATTTCTGTCTTTATTATATCTTTCTGCTTGCCTTGGGTTTATTTATTTGCTTTTTTCTAGTTTCTTGAGGTGGAAGTTTATTGATTTGAGACTTTGTCTTTTTCATAATGTTTCCATTTAATGTTAAAATTTCCTATATGTTTAAAAAATAGTAAACAAAAATTATACTATTTCCCTAACAGTTGTCAGGACTACTAAATCTCCCCAGGACAAAGCAATGCATCTCTTGAGTGGATGGCTATCTCTAAATTCAATGTCAAGGCTGTTTCAGATTTCAGTCCCATTTTCAAATTACTCTAGAAGTGATGAAAAAGAAAAGGTTGGTGCCAGCGACCTGGATCCTATCAGGCGTGACTTATCAGGTGCATAACTATGAGCCAGATGGTTAACTGTTCTAAATCACTTCTTATAACATGCATAGCACAGGGGCTAGCACAGAAAGCAATCAACAGATTTAACTAGTGTTGTTGTTGTTATTATTATTCAACAAAATTTCCTTATTCTAAAATGCAGGTATGAGGAAACATCCTATCTGGCAGGTGTTTCAAGGTGAAGTAAACTTAGGCAAATTTAGAAACAAACAAACCTGATAAAGGAACACAAATACTTATAAACTCCTGACTTCCCCTCCAGCAAATGAATTTGTATAAACATTTAGAAAACCAGTTCTACTCCTAAAATTCCTCAGGTAAAAATATACTGTAGAAAGCACTCAGCCTTCTCTTTCATTGTAAGACAAAAATAAGCAAACATTATTAGATTTTAAAATTTATTTTCCAATTCCTTCTGCAACTTGTGCACAAGACTTACATGAGCATCCCTTTCCTGCCCATTTTGGTAAATAGTTATATTTGCTATTGTATAGTTACAACCATAGAAAGCTGGTTCTCTCAATAAATGGGTACTTCTACAAAGATGGACTCTAATTCAAATGTCTACATGGATAATTTGCATTATATCCATGTATTTTAAAACTCATGATACCATCTATCCTCCCCAAAATATCTATAGGGTGTCCCAAAAATGTATGCACACACTTTGAATTATAAAGGCAATGTTTATTAATATACATTTCATTTTTTAAATTGAGCTATCAGCTGTTAAAGTGTGTATACATTTATGGGGACACCCTATATATCTCTAGTATATATAGCTTGATTGATTTCTAAAC